CTGGAGAAATATAAAACAGCACCTGGTGGGAGAAGGTAGAGGGGTGGGGGGAAGAGAGCATGCAAGAGAGGAAAGGGGAATTAGGGAGGAGAGAATGAGAAAAATAATATTACACTTAAGCATGACAAAGAGAGAACACATGCAAACTATTCAAGGCATTGCTTTTTATGTTATTTTAGAAAGTCTGCTTACCAACAAAAGTTCTTACAACAGTTCAAAGTAAATATTTAAATATGTCTATTGTATCCTTACATTTTATAATATTTGTAATATATATGTTATATATATATACACATGTGTGTAATATATACTTGTCAATCATTCAGATTTTTCTGTCAGTCGTTCAGATTTTTTTCCCAAATTGATCCAGTTACTGAATGACTGACAGAAAAAAGTTGTTCCTGGCATGCCACATAAATTCTTGTTCATTTGTAGTACATTTAAATCTCTGTTATAAATCAAAGAGGCCAAATAATCTCCATTTCAGAATTCTGACAAGAACCTATGCAAAAATGTCTCTTCTAAGAAAATATATTAAATATATGCAGATAAATGAAAAATAGGATAAATGCAGCATGCATTTATTACAGGTATCTTCCTATGATTATAAAAAAGACTTTTTGGAAACAGAAGACATGACTAATACTAACTTTGGTAAAGCACTTAAGGCATAATATGGGAAACCAGAATCTCCTTAATTAAATCAGAGAGACTGGGATTAGTAAATTAGTTAGGAATTCAAAAGGGGGGTGTCAAAGGCTAGCAATGAAAGAAGAAACACAAGGCAGACTGAATATTATTACTGAAGTTCCTCCAAAACAGGCCTTCAGGGAGTAGGGGAAAAAAAAAACCAAACCAAAACACAACAACCCAAACCCCCAAAAATCCCATGAAAGTCAGCTTGTTTAACAATGCCATTTTTACATCCTCAAGCAGCACAATACTAGTAAAAAATACATTAGCATTACAAGGAATCAACAATGCAAAGGAATATAGAATGATCTAACCTGATGACTTTGCAGGCCAGTTTAATAGGAATATGATGAAATTAAAAGTGCAAGTTTGCAGACTTAGACTTAATAAAAGACTTCTACTGTAAGCTAGGAAGACACTTTAGAAGTGACTGATGAGTAATAACTCATGTTCCATTAGTATTTGCAAGTCTACAAGCTAGCGAATTGATGGAACGAAGAGAAAGACCTATGCTGTCCTAACACATACCAAACGACGTTTAATGGTACGTCAGCTAGAAATAGACTATGTGTATTACCTTGTACAATTTTTTATATGTTCAAGATAGGTGAATTTGAATTGCAACAGCCACAGAAAAAGCATGATGAGAAGAACAAGCAGCGCATCTGAGGAAAGAATTTTGGTTGACTCCAATGGGAATAGAAAAGTCTAACTTCTTTTAAAATGCTGCTCTACAATGCATGTATGAAAGACACATGATATAATAGCAATGAACTACAACAGAAACCCTACGATACCCCTACAGGTTTAGATTCTCAGAGACATGTATTCCTAGCCAAACTTATTTTTAAGCCTACAGAAATAATTAAGTCTATAAAGAAGTACCTTGTTTTCAAGAAATCTATTCCAGTCTAGGTTTTTGTTTGGGTACACCATTTACTGGAGCTGAGTACTTTTCTATATTTGTTCCATCAAGTCCCTCTGCCATCTTTGCATCTATATGGGTGCACACTTCCTTACCCCTCCCAACCCTGTTATATGGCCTACAACATTTACATCAGCAAACTGGGTGGTCCTGGCAGCAGAAAGTCAAATGATCACCATCTGGAAGTAGTCTTCCAGCCTAATAACAGCTGAGAGGTGAAAAAAAATTCCTTTAGCCTGTGGAAAGGCATCATCCAAATTGCTAAGGATTAAAGGAAATCAGTCTGTGGCATTCAGGCATTTTTCAGCTCAAGGAAAATTGGCATTACTAGTGCCTTCTTGCATATTATATTTAAGGTCTTCGAACATACAGATTCCCACAGTTATTCTGGAACCTTAACATCTGCCAGAAAACAGGCAGTGCCAGAAAACCAAAACTCTTCCTTTTGAAATTGCAAGTGTTGTCTTCCTGTTTGAGCTTACGGAAAAACAAAAACAAAGCAACCTGCAGGTTTACTCAATAAGCATCCAGTTATTTTCAAAACAATTTCATATGTTTGAGTCATATGAACATGCTTGGGAAACCCTCCCTCTTCCCGTGCATTTATGTCTTGTGGTTTGAGCAGCTTCAGAAAAGAATTGTAGCTCAGTAAGTATTTTGTTTATATATGTCCAAATGCTGAACTGACCTGATGAAATGCTATCATAAGTCTTTAAACAGATCAGTAGAGATACTTTACAAAATCTTAACCAGAAATTTTTTTTTCCACTTACGGTTTTTAAAAAAAAAAAAAAAAAAAAAAAAAATCACTGTAAGCTTTCAGAACGCATTAAGTTATTTTTGGGAAAAAGTTTGCATATTGAGTCTTGATTACATACATTTCTACATGTGTACTCCTACTATGTCATAATCATATTTTCTCAACTATACCTTTTGCATAGCCTTTAATATAGTAGTCTTTAGCATATGCCTCTTTAATGCAGAAACTGCATTTATTCTCATCGATAAATACTTAGAACTGTCAAGGTATATGTAACTTACAGAATTAAGTAACAAGTGCAAAAGCTTTGGAGAAGCTGCTACTTCTGTTTTTGAAAGCCATGTTTACTGCCTCACAAAAGATACCTAGGCCTTGGATATAGACTTTAAAAAAAAAAACACAACTGTTTTGATATCTTATAGATTAAGTCCTACTGACTTTCCAGTTGCAGCTAACAGGAAATTATAGTGTTCCTTCTCAGCACTCTGAAGAAGCTGGGTTTTAACATAGCAGGTTCACTGAAGAAAAAGCAACATTTGGGAAACTGAAACAAAACTTTAAACAAGTTTTTAAACAAACAAACAAAAATCCCTGCATAAATGTGTCTGGGAGCTGATACATAGTCATTTCACTGAAAGTTCTTGTTCCAGGGTATATTAGTATTTACACAGAAGAACAAACAAATGTATCTACTATTTCACATCTGCTTGTACATTTTGCATATTCCACTTAAATTGCTAAGATAGCATTGCTTCTGAGGCAGTAAGATAGCCCAAAGAAAACACTGAGCCTAGAATTCGACAGTTTTTACAGATTTATAATCTGAGTTCAGCCTGACCTAACAGATATGGCTCTTTACATTGTCTCCTGCAGGTGTCCATGCAATTCAGGTCTGAAGGACACTTCTAGCACCCATTTCCTTTGGTATGCCTATTTAAAGCCCGAACCAGAAGTTCTACTTACTGAATCCCTGTAAAGCTGTAGGCTCCCTCTCAGGTACCAGCATTTCCTACCGATTCCTTCACACAGGTACCTATTTGCATTATGTGTATCCTTTCCTACCTTTTATAATATGTTAAGTTTCTCCACTCACATTTAATCACATTTTACTTACTCTGGTTGGGACAGCTATTAATAAGGCAGAGTGTGGACAGAACAGAAGTGGAGGCAAATTTATAAGCCAACACACAGCAGTTACTTTTAGCATAATCTCCCAATTTATATAAAGATGCAAAGTATACTTTTATCTTACTTTATTTTACTTTGTTTTTCACTAGTATATTCTACATAACTTCATATGAAAAAAATTTAAAATTGGATTTTTATCTCAATTACCTGCCTCAGCCTACAAAACGTTACCTTTTTCTCTAGAAGAATCAATTTAAAAAGGACCAGGACCTGAAAAAACACAAAAAGGAAAAACATGGTGAGTGAACCAGTGCCATTTATCAAAAATACTGTGTAAGCATAATCTCTTATTCAAGATTTCATGTTAATCACTGCATAACTGTCAAATGATCAAATACATTTGACCAGTGAAAACCAGTGTTCCAATACCCTTTCTCTACCTAAGCACTCATTTTAAAATAGCATTTGAGATGCACAAAGAAAAACCTGCACAGACAAGAATTGTGTAATTTGAATCACACAAAGCTTATCAGAAAGAACGTGTTGTGTAGTTCCAGAATTTTAAAAAACAACTGCATAAACATAAAAGATTTCCTCCACAGAAATACAGAAAAGAATTCAGCAAAATATCAAGAATAGCATTCACCTCACCTAATTTTAGGCATCTACAGATGAGGCATCTACATCAGAAGTGGCTGTCCAGACTCTCTACACTCAAAGGAAAACAGACGCTTCTGGAGCATGACTGGCAGACATCTGGAAAATGAGTTCTACCCCAAAAATCTACTAAGCAGTCGCAAATACATCATGAAATCCAGATTCTTGAATTTGTTTCCTTGATGCCTGTCAGTTAATAAAAGATTCTAAATGCTATTTGTACTTTAGCTATAGGATACACACTCAATTTCAATAGTCATTAGGAAAAAGGAGAGGTGCAAGTTCCCTCAGGTTCTATGATGGCAAAAGCTGCAAAAATTACAAGATACAGGGAAAAATGCTCCAAGTTGTGTCTGCACAGGCTTTAGCAATATTCTTCTATCACATTCGTCTGACAAGAAGCGGGAAATAGAAACAAGACCATAACTGAGATACCACTTGGACTTTGGGACAGGACTAAAGAAGTGTCACACAAACCTAGAAATCTCCAGGGAATCTAGCAGACGGACAAAACTTCTTAGTCTGGAACTTACTTTCACTGAAGTTATGTAGGCAGAAGGAGAAGGGAAATCAGAATGCTGTAACTGGAAGTACTTAGTCGTCTTACTCCTAGCTCAGGTATGTCTGGACATGTTTATTTTCCAGTTCCTCACAAAGCATTTTAATCCACAAAATAAGTGCTGTACCTTATCTATCCAGCAGAAAACACCTACCTTGTGTCTAAAGTGAAGAACAAGATCCCGAGGAGACAGACCTGAGATACCAAAAAGAGAACAATTATTACAGTTTAATAGCTAGTAGAGATAGTAACTTACTTTTTGTCATCATTTTTCAGGGGGAGGGAGACAATCATCATGCATTCTATGTGAACCTGGTTATTTCAGTAGCAGAACTCAAATAAAATTCTTTCTTTTGAGCAGGAGCAAGAGTTAAATCTACAATGGAGACAATAATAACGTGAATAGTCACGCTCTGAGTTACTCTTGTTGGCTGCCACACAGCATTATGGAAACAATGAAGTAAATACTACACTGTGCATTCAGAAAACACAGGGAAGAGTCAGAACCAAATGGGAGATATCCCAAATAACAGGTAGATGAAAGCTTGAGCACCCCACATCATCAAATAGTTCCAACTAAAAATTAAGAAGGTACTGTTTCCCAAAAGCAGCCACGCAGTTGCTTGTCAGACTGTTAGGTCAAGAGGTAACATGGCTTTCAACCTACAACTAACTCCTACTATGAAAACAACACTACATGTATTTGACATTTATTTAAATCCATTAATAAAGAAATGCATAACAGAATAATGTGCAGGCACACAGACCTCTGGTGCTTAATCTGTTAATGCACATAAACAAATTAGCTCAGGAAGGGAATGTTGATTAGCGTAACTTTATCTCTGCTGCTTGTACAAAATAAGTCACTTACCAAGATAAACTTGTGACCCTTCTAGCAAAGTACTGCCCAAGGAACTATTCATATGATCATAAAGTTCCTGTAAAAGTTAGAACAAAGGCAAAAAAACCCAGAAGCCATTAATGGCACATGGTCACACAAAATCCAGAATAAATCAAATTCACTTATTCAAGGATTTCAACGTCTTATTCCAGAAAGAAAGTAAAATTTTACTAATGGAGTCAACGGAGATACAGGCTGACAATCACGCTCATTCTTGTATTTCATTACAAATCAGGAAGTTGACCCTCTGTCAGACTAGGGTAGTTCATTTAGTTCACGTTAAGTTATAACAAGAGCTGAATAACTGAATGACCTATGCAAATGAAATATTTGAGCACTAATTAAGAACACTGAAGCCCGTAGCCATACACTGAAAGCTTTGTTCTGTGTGGCTATTACTTAAAAGTTACCTTTAGAATTGAAATTTGCGAGAAGTCTTTTTCTTCAAAATACGCATGTGTAATGAGTTGCAGCTTTGCCTGAAGTAACCCATACAAAGGCTTGGAAGAAAAACAAACACAAAAGCAAGTGAGGAAAATGTATTTAGTCACTCATTTTGAACTTCAATCTTCTCCCATTCCTATCTTACAATATAGACACATTATTGCACAGAGTTCATGGAGGGGCAGTCCTCAGTGGCTAACTTGCAGCACCTTTTCCCTGTGCTCATTTTAAATGATGATAATTCTATTTTCTTTCCATTTGCACATACCATACCATCACTGAACATCTTTCTGGAAAAGTACTTTCCTGCTTTAACACTGCTTGTGCAGGTTCAGTAATAGTTCTTTCTTCAGCTTTAAGCACAGGAAGAATTTGTTCCCTGCCTAGTGACCACTAGCTTTTGCTAAATAGGTAGAAATACAAGATGTTGCTTCAAAACAAGAGTATGCTGTATGTGTGACTATCTTAAAACCTCTTTCACAGTTGTCAATAGCCACTCTCTCCAGTTATTATAATGACCAAACTCCTCAATCCTACTACATGAAATAAAGTTAGTAGCACTTAAAAATAATCAAAAGTGCAAATAGATATCCCGGACCTTGACAACAGGCAGACACTTTTACAATTACTCTTACAAGGAAATACCAATTCAAGGCAGCTCACTCAAATGCCATAGCCTTCCAATTCAATTTTACTTCAGTGTTTTTTTACCCTCTACAATGATTTAAAGAGCCAAAAGTTCCAAATAAGAATATGGAAAACAAATAATTTTTAATATGTTATTTGAAAGTGTTTTGGGAGTTAAGCAAACATTCTTACCAGCTGACTGAGAACACAAACACTTTTCTGTACTGTTTCTCGGGTGATGTCTGCTTGCCGTACTTTCAATGCCTAAGAAATAGAAGTATTACAGTATTTTTACCCAAACAATTTCAAAAAGAATTCTTTCACGCCTCTAGTTGCCATGTACCACCCCCTATTTAAACAAAATCCTAAAACTGACTGCCTTCAATGGTGGAATATCCAAACCATTCAACAGTATGCCCTTACCTAGTAAAAGTGGTCATAACACTGATACATCAGAGTTACGTTCTCATCTCACTGTGCACAGCAAAGATCCAAATACAGCTGTGATGATAGGCAGAAGACTGTCTAAAAGACACTAGATGAGAAATAGCCCTGGAAAAGGCAATGGCATTTTATCTCAGGGTAATGCAATAGAAGAGAAGCCACAACATATCACTTGTTCTTCCTTAACATCATCTGTGAAAATGGACCAGGTTGAAAAGTCTTTGCCTAGAAATTGTTTGCTTTATACTTGACTGTTTTTTTTGAGCCACCCATAAAATAAAGGAGGTATCATCTGCAGAATCAACTACATTCTCAGCCAGACCAAACGGTCCCAGCACTTAACAACAGACCTAGAAAGGGTGGGGGCAGAAAACAGTCAAGTGATTCACTTAATTGTACAAAACAGCAAGTGTGCAGACTGCAGCCCACACATCAGAAAGGACAGATGGAACATGCAACATATTGTTTTACATTCTACTTGTTCCAAAAAGTTCATTTGAAACACCTATTTATCTTCTTAATTGGTTACTAAACAGCATAAACTGGAATCAAGAGCACAATAAAGCCAAGTTATTGCATAGTTAAATAGAGCAAGACTCTAAATCACAGAATACAGTGAAGACTAGTTGCAAAGATGAGTGAACTAAAATCAACATGGATTTAGTTCAAAAGAAATGGAATTTAAATCTGCATGTGTAAAATTTCTCTTATAGCATAAACAGGAACTTGAAATATAATCAAGGTATGATTAACACACATGATTAAAACACAGTACATAATTTACACCTTCTGAATACAAGACTCATTTAAAACTCAAACCCACATGGCATTCCAGATTCTTGGCACTTTACTGGAAAAGGAAGTAATTTTTAAAGAAATTTGTAATAACTTCTCAATTGTAAGTGCACAGATCATACTACCATTACTACTTTTGAAAATATGGGCAGATTTTAGCAGATCAAGTACATAATTTCCTCAGTGTGATCAGATGCACACTGTAGCTCTCATGAATTTTTCAGCTTTACTGCTAGAAGTTCAGTATCAGTGAGCAGCTACAATGAATGGGAAGATTCTGGTCTACTCTGCAAGTGTACTTTTGACAAAGGAGGTAGGTGAGGAGAAACATCCCTACACTTGCATGGTCAGATCCCAGGAAATTCTTCATGGTCACTGGAGATCCCAGATCCCAGGAAATTCTTCATGGTCACTGGAGAAATTTCAACTTTTTCTACCCAAGAGGCCTGCTTCCCAAAAACATGACTTGGCCGCCTGACAGATTGTCAGCTTCATTTTGCTACTTGGTGCTGATGCCTGGATTAGCTCTCAAGAACCAAAACATGTTTTTCAATTGCCTTGAACATTCCAAAAGATCACAATATGCCTGCTGACATAAGGGAAAGAAATAGTTCTCAAGTTCTGTAGCTACCGACGGTGCACATTTTCATAGATTTTTAATGTAAGCGGATTATGCAGTTTGACTGTTGATGTAATGCAAGCCACTGAATTTTAGGGTCGTTAATGCATCAAGCCCATTATTTCATTAATATAATTCACAACTTGGAAAGTTACCTTTGCTTCAATCTGCCTATAGCAAGAGACACCATATACTGTGGTTCGATCCCCACATCTCGGTGGCAAATGGAAAAACACAGTATCTATGAAAAAGAAAAGATTGTTTCATAAGTCACTAACAAGAGTTCAGTATTTTTATTTTCAGCATCACTTTTTTATAAAAGGCCTACTGCTGAAAATACTGGCACACTTATTTTCTGAGACTTTAAAAAAAAAAAAAAAAGAAAGTAAGTCAGTCATCTAGAAAGCTACACCTGCACCCAAATTAGTTTCCAAATTGCAAGATGCTTTGTGGAAGAATCTCCAGCTGTGCTAATATGGATATTCTGACAAAAGCCTCAAATTTAGCCTGACCAAGCTCCTATAAGCCCACTGACACGTTCTCAGAAGCAGCTATTGACAGCAGAAAAGCACCACTGAAACCTACAGGCATGCTTTCCCAATTCGGTATGGAGGAGCAAAAACAAGACACCATGAGGCAAGGTGTACAGTTGGAGTGTGATACCATTAAAAAGGTAAATGCCATGAAGACAGGGGAAAAAAAAACACCAAGGAGGACATCTAGAGTTGAAAGATTAGAATAGCTGCTACCACTGCCAAGGTAGATAGCCATGCAGCAGCACCACTACGCTAACAAAAAGGATTTGTGAATCCTAGTCTCACACAAAATAATTACTGTCTCTGTGCAAGTGTGACATGAAAGAAAAAAATCTCTATAAAATATGACAAAAGAAAGGCTCTTATGGCTTGAGATATACACACACATACATATACACACGCACTTGCTAATACTGCAAAAAAGTTGCTAAATCCTAACTAAAGGAGAGGACATTATGAATGTTTGCTTTCAAAACATGAGTGAAATCTGTTTTGAAACCAACTATTAATTTTTTTGTTTGCTTCATAGTAACAAAATTAACAGAAGAGACAATCCCATATGCATTAAGTCCAACAGAAAGAGGGACTGTTTATAACAAAGCTTATTCCCTTGAACAAGTTAATTATATTATGGAGATCACCTAGGGTTTTAGAAAGCCTTTAAGACTGTTTCTTGTACCAAGTCATCCTCTTTGCAAAAATGCAACTATCAGTGGGAATTAGTTTAAGACTCAAAAATAGGTATCTAAAAATTACTGTAAGTGTAACATAACTATATGTGAAACATATTTGCCTGTTTCAAGTTCATGTGTATTCCTGCCTACAAACCACATGTATATACATCAGTTTTGTTGCCAAGCCTTTCTATTTTTTCCTTACCAAAAAATACACACTGACATCTTTTAGTGCAGCAATGAAAATGCTCAAAGTTGAGCATTAACTGAGCCAAGAGTGAACAGGTTAAGTGCAGCTGCATATGATTTTCTTGGCTTGGAATGCAGCCTACTGCTCATTATGTATTTAACAACGCAGAAATGGAACAAAAATCATGACCCAGAGCAGAGTCAGAGAGACTCTTATTGCTGCTAGGAAGGGGATTATTTTGATATGACTTCCTTTGCTTCCAAATGAGGTCTCTGGAAGCTGGAGAATTAGGAAACTAAGTACATCAAGTTAAAAAAAAAAAAAAAAAATCTTATTAAAAGTAGTATTAAAGGGTTTCTGTGATTTTGCTGTTTTAAGTGACTTCCTTGTTCACTGCTCTGGAGAAAAAAGAAACAACTGAACATGCATATAAATGTCGCAGCGATGAACTGAACTGCTGTCAAATAAACAAAGAAATAAATGCAATACTACACACACAAAAAAAAAACCCCTGAAGTGAACTTGCTGGTAACTATGTGGCAAAAGAATCATTCTATCTTCATTCTGCTGACAAATACACTAAAGCTCCTGTTCCTGCCCTTCACATTTGCTGGTTTTCAAAATATGTCGTTCTACAGACATTGAATGACTTGTAGGTCATTCTAAGAATCTCTAAATTAGTGGAGGGGAAAAAAAAATTCATAATGACAACATACATTACAATGCTGAATTTTAGAATTTCATTTTTCCCTTACCTCAAAACTGGATTAGGTTTTACTCAAGAGTTTATTCCCCCTTCAAAGAACTTCTGAGAAAGCCGGTAGTCTTGCTTTGCACTAGGACTACACACAAGTGATATGTAACCCCTTAAGCTTTTATTGACATCTGACTTCTTGGTGTAGGAGATACACCTTTATGATTTACTTTCACTTTAAACTCTGAAGCAACATATCATTGACAATGTATTTTGCAGCTTAAATAAAAAGTACAGGAAGTCTAATAGTGAGAAGAATTGTTGATCAACTGTTCAGATACCAGGATTTTTCTTTTGGTTGCAGCAGAATTAGTGCATACAACTTCCTCTCTCGTTTCTTACCTTCCTGATAGTTGTGAGCACCATCCGGTAAGGCGAGAAATGGCAAGTATTTCCATTCCTCTGGTAAACTGTGGCTGTCATGTCCTTCTCCAGGCTTTAGGGGAGGATAGGAAAATTCAACCTAAACAAACAAACAAAAATAGAGGGGAGGCAAAGACAGAACACATTACTGTTACCAAACAAGCAAGCTTCTGTGATTCAGCCTAGCACCTTTTCTTTAGCAATGGTATGAAACAAAGCTTTTCTTCTTACTAGGATTCCTTGTCTCTTCCTCCAATGCACCCACGGACTGACTCACGTGTGGTCTAACTGACAGGCTCTGGGCAGATTTGGCTTCTACAGTGTCTCCATCCAGCCTAGTGCCTTTTCCTCAAAAGAAATATGAAACAGATGTTCAAGCAGAAAACATTACCCAGCAGCTGAATACCTTCTCCCCTGTACGCACATAACCAGCAGCACATTGCTGCACCTGCAACGCCAACAGGGGTCATTGCTGAGACGCACACATCCTGAAATCAGATTTGGCTTCTCAGCCCCTCAGGTGCTCATGACTAGGTAACACTCTAACACGTGCAAACCTCTTTTTTACCCTACCAGATGTTGAATAATCTCAGAAACTATACTAAGAGCAAAATACTGCTTTTAAATACTTTTATGCCCTTGACTGCAAGGAGTGCTACACATTGGCCTAAAGTACCTACTTTTCCTTTCCCCAAGAAATCCTGCCTTTCAATTTCACCTTTCATTTATTTGCCATTTGCCTCTTTTTCCCAGTAATAGCGACAACCTTTCTATTCTTCACACTACACTACATGTCTACCACAGATTGTCATAATCAGCATCTTCACAGTACTATCCTTTCATCTTCTTCTCCTACGGAGACCCCTCTGGGTTTCCTGCCACTTTCACCAATTCTTTTTTCCAGACGTGCATTTCTAAAATCACTGAGCAAAATCTAAACAAATTTATCAGTAAAAGAAACTGTTTAAAGATACTACAACTTCTCTTGAAGGACATTTAGCAATAAACTAGTGAGCTGTAAAATGTATACATGAAAATAAAAAAGCATGACAAAGCAAGCACACAGAAAATCTTAACATTTGATGGATGATAAAATAAAAACACTGTAAAGGATGAGAGTACTGAAGAAGAAATGGGAAATAAACCAAAAGTGAAATTCTTCACCTTAACACACGGTGTCACTCTTTCTACAGCTGTTGCCAACTTGGAAAAAAGCACAAAGGACAAGAAAATGCCACAAGAAATCGGCCTTGCTACTTGCTGTATCAATTTCAAGTTTTCTTATTCCTCGTATTATAAAAGAGATCTTGAAAATATCCACAAAAAAATAAAGATCTGGTGAAAGACCAAAGACCTGAGCTAAAGGTAAATAACCCCCAAAGAATAATTACGCAAAGGGGTGGAAAAAAAGACATGCAATAGAAAAAGGACTAATTTTGGCAGAGGAAGAAGGAGGGAATCCTGCCCCTGACTTGTAGTTAGTTATCAACAGTCCATAGAGCCTTTTAAACAAAATACACCATTAAGTAAAACAGAAAAGTATCTGACTTCCAAAGGAAAGACAAACACTGGAATTAGCATCCATACAAGGAGCAGAGAAACTGCCTGCCATTTAGTACACACATAAATCCTGAGAATTCCCTGCTATCCTTTTCAAATCAGATTGTAAGAAGATTAAGATGTTAGAAGCTTCATGTAAATATCTGCAATACAGAAGATTATATCATACAATTTGACGCTGTCCAGATTCAGACTGGCTGGCTGAAAACACTGTTTACGCTTATTACTGGATTCTTGCAGGAGGAGTAAACTTAGCAATAAATAAAGCACAGTTCCTAACTTTTAAAACATAGGTAGTCAAGGAGCATCTACACTAACGTCCTGAACCAAGTATTTTATTTCACTGCATGGCCAACAGAGAGGGGTTCAGATTCACGCTGTGCAGGAGCTTCTTTCCACTGAATACAGAGGAAACTCTGGGTCTCTTACATTTCAGTGAATACCTTTCAAAGTATCATTCCTGACAGGGAAACACTGTAAGTAAGGATCTAAGACATCACTGCTTCCAAGCACTTACAGGATTACAATTGTATTTGGCATTCCAACCAAAATAATGAATTAGAAGACATATTTAAAGGAAAGAAGGGTAGGACAATTCAAGCTATATGAAAAACGTATTCACTAAGGAATACTCCTTTTTAAAAACCAGACTAAAGCTGAGAGATCTGGCTCCTCTGTTCTTTTGAGTGCGTGAAATTTGCTGAAGAACTACTTTGTTCTAGCTCACAATATGCTATCAACACCTCAGCTGCTATCAGATATTCCCAGCAACAGGGATTTCTGCAGGCTCTGACTGTTCCAAATTCAAACTGAACCAGCATAAGTGACACCGATAATAATCTTGTTTTATATTAGTCTGCTTCTTTCAAAAATATGTGTTCTAATATAGAGACTTCCGTATGCATGTGTGTGTATACGTGAGAGAAGATCACAAAAATCAGATAAAGCAGAATTAAAATTGCTTAAGTGGCCCTAAATAATCTATTTTACAGATATACTTTATGATAGACCTGATTTACATTATGACACACTATTCCTCCCCCTTCCCAAGAGGATCCATGTAGGAAGTACCCTGGTTTCTAAGAAGGAATCACATTTGTGTAGTTTAATAGATCACTGCTTGTAGAAGTACCGCCCTCATATTGTGGAGGCTGAAAGAGTGGAAGTAACAAAGAAGCAGGAAAAAGAAAAAGGACAATCCAACAGCAAGGACAGCATGCAATGCCCTGGTGAACTTCCTTCCACCCCTGCTCTGACTTAAAGAGTTTCCAGTGATTTCATTTCAAAGAGCTAAGTCAAACTTTTTCACAAGTAGTCACTGCAGGTGGGATTCATGTCAGCTGACTACATGTCAAAAAGCAAGATCTCCTAAGCCAGTTTTCCTAAGCATTCTGCATAGTCAGAGAAAACAGACACCTGCAGAGGATGATTCACCCGATCTGTTTCTTTCCATAGACTCTGAGGAGAGCTGGCTCAGACTTCTAAGTCTAACTTGCAGATGACTGAATTAATGCAGATGAAACTAGCCCTAACCGTTCCTCATCTTCTAGACATTCTGCGTGATTTCTACAGCTCAATTTGCAGACTTGCATCAATTGCAGTTAGGAATCCTTTGCACAGAAAAAACATTATTTCAAAACCAAAGTATTATAAGAACATTGAGTAGCCTTAAAAAAAAAAAAGCCAAAACCCCACAGTTCTTGAAAATCTTGAAACTGAGCAGTGCACATGTATAAAAGTGATAATAATGGGGTAAAGAGAATCTCAGTTCTATTGCTCTTCTGAGTTTTGGAACAACTGGAGCCTCAGTAAAATTATTCTCTCAGCCTGTGTATGCAAACTGTACGGTATAGTGTTCCTACTTAAGGCAACTTAAAAAAAGATTTACTTTTTTCCTCATCTTTCACTTTAAACCCAAGACCAACCATGACAGAGGGATGGGACTACAGAAGAGACTTGTCTCACAGCTTTTTTCTTCCCTCTTCACAGAATGAAGAAAGAGGAGCTCATTTTTTATTTAAATACAATGGATTTTCATGTAAATCCATACATATATGCATGTGCATGCATAAGCATGCACTTCAATTTCCCTGTTTGTCATTAATACACATATGCATTACAAAAAAGAAATAAAGTCTTTTAATAAAGCTCAGTTGTCAACAGGAACAAAGAAATACATGCAAGTTTTCAGAGCTGACTGCTGGAGCAGATTTTACAGTTTTTTGTCTCCTCAAGTGAGACTCCTCAAAAAGATGAAATTAAAATTCAAAGCTGAACTCCTCAGAGACTTCCGAATAAACTACATAAAACATGAACTAGAATCTCCACTCATTTCTTACTCTTCCAAGTGTCAGGGATCTTCATTACAGCCGGAAATATTGATTGTGCCTTTCAAGAGGTTTGGATGGCAACGCCTTCTGCCTGTAAGCAGACAGCTCTTGATGGATTTCAGAACTAAAATCAATACAGAATATTATGTTGTGTTTTAGTGGAGAAACAAATAACTGCGCTCTTCACTACACAAAGTATTTCAACTCTTGTGGATTACCAAGTTAAAGTAAAATATAATTTTAAAAAACTCCCTAAATTGAAGTACAACTGAATTTCTGGAACTGACATTTTTATTTTTCTGTAATTCTGCTGCGTTAACTAACCTTTTATATGCAGTTTGTATTGAATCTAACGGTTTGGATGCAAAGCACCTACTGACACACAGTCCTATCTTGTTTGGGGAATGAAAAAAAACATTCAGGCAATCTGTTCTGGTTCCTCGTCTTTAAAGGGACTTCCTAGCCAGAATAAATTTACTAGACATTCATTAACTCACAGTAAGAAAAGATGAGTGCAGGCAAGGAAAAACGTATTTCAGTTCCTACATTTAGGAACTAACATGATAGTTTTTCTTTAAAAAAAAATGCATTGATATTGTCTTCTACTAAATTACAAGTACACTGTCAGAAGAGAGGTTAAAAAAGGACATCGATAAAAGAGGAATTTCCAAAATATATATGCATGTGCACCTAAACTATCACACTCAAACATTAGACAGGTAGTTGGCATTAATTTTTGATGAACTTTATACTCAGGTAAGGTTGTTTTCTTTACCTGTGAAAAGTGTTAAGTGTTAGCAATCACAGTAAGAGTAAAATCCTCAGTGAACACTAAACAGTGATAATTTAAAATGTGCTGGCAAGTCAGTATAAACTCCCCATCCTCCCCACTCCATCTACTATCACGTGTGAACTACTCCACTTACAAGTTAACCCCTCTTACTCAGCACAGTCACAACATAAGCTCTCTTCTTTAATATGGGTATTTTGGAAGATTTTTCTTCAGACTAGAAATGAAAAAAATCTGGACCCAAATAAGTTTTCCATTGGTTCAATGGACAGAGGACTTAATCTCAAATGTCTAAAAAAATCTGAAATATTTAGAATGACAGTATTATGTTAAAGACAAGGATGCTTTCAGTAGGTTACAGAATCTAATTTACAGGGAGTGAACCTATTCTGTTCTCTGAATAATTGCTTTGATGATCTC